CTCTCATGAGAACTTCTCTTGCAGGCCACCCTAAGCAGAAGCGTGCAAGGAGGGGGATGCTAGGAAATGTCATTTAACATGGACACATCACAAAGCCACCTCACAAGATGTTTTAAATCCTGTCTAATCTCCCCACCGGCAGGAGCTCACCGACTCACCAACCTCAGTAGAAGCAACACCTCACTGAAGCAAGCCTTGGAAGTCCCTCCCAACACCCCCCAAAAAGCACAGTGTGGTCCCATGTGAAGAAAGCAGATTCCTTCCAGTTAGCATGATTCGGCCTTAATTCTTCCAGAACGAGACTCTTGTCAATATTGTACTCAGGAGCCTGGCCGCATTACAAGGGCAATTCCATTAGCTCTTGGCAAGCCGTCTCTCCCCTGATGTAAGAGTGGAGGAGAAGGCTGCAGTGTAGATATCACACAACAGAAAAAGGGGTCTTGTGCCGGGAAGGGTTGGGGCAGCAGATGAACAGCTTTTTGAGAGCTGTTGGAGAGATTTCGGGATATGTTTTCCAAGTCAGAGATTCAGTGTTCTGTCCCCTGGAGGTCTCAACAGACTCCAGTCTTAAGAATTACCTTTTCCTGGGGCGCCTGGGTGGTGAGTAGGTTAAGTGTCCAACTTCGGCTTAGGTCATGATCTTGAAGTTCATGAGTTCAAGCCGCACCTCGGGCTCTGTGCTGAGAGCTCGGAGCCTGGAGCCTGCTTCAGATTCTGTCTCCCTCTCTCTCTCTGCCCCACCCCCACTTGCACTCTGTCTCTCTCTTCCTCTCAAAAATGAATAAACATTAAAAATTAAAAAAAAGATTTACCTTTTCCTTTCATATTAGAATAAAAACAGCTTGAGTCCCCACCCTTAATTTGGGACAAGCCCAGCATCCTCCTCACTACATCGCCCAATTCCTTGGGGCTACTGTTTTCCATGATGATATTTAGGGTGTTGTGGACTCCGCTAAAAGACTACATTTCCCAAGTTTTTGCAAATAGAAGGTGGCCAATGAGAAGTAAATAGAAGTCTTTGGGAGGAGATCCTGGGAAGTCTTTTCAAAAGGCATAAACTCACTTAGCGGTGCCTTCCCCAAACCCCACCTTTTTCTTTTCTTCTTGCTTTTCCCCCGGGAATATGACATGCTTGGTGAGGTTCCTGCAGCCATTTTGTGATCTTGAGGATTAGAGCCACATGCTAAGCATTGCAGAGCATTATGTCAGGAGAAGCCTAGTCCCTTATGACACCAAGGAACCCCTTCTTCAGCACCGGACTACACACTTCAGAGTTCCGCGATGGGAGAGAGAAATAAATCTCCGTTTCAAAGCTACTATTGTTTCTGGCTTGTGCCTCTTGACATCGAATATGGTTTCTGCTTCCAGAATTCTTGGTATGTGAGATAATAAATTTCCTTTGCAGCAATACCCAGCTTCCTTCTCTAAGAAGATTGTAGCTTCCTGCCCTCTTGAACTCAAATGTGGCTATGCGATTTGCTCTGGCCGATGGAATGCGAGGAGGAGTGATGTGTGTCCTTTCTGGCAGAGGCTACAACAGACAGTGTGTGACTCACCTTATTCTCTCTTCTTTCTGTCACTGATAACCAGAAATACTTCTGATGGCTTCTCCACCAGCTGAGGTCACATCATGGCTCTCAGCCGACCCACGAGAGACACGCGGTGTGGGTGCAAAGAAACCTTTGCTGTCGTGAACTACCCAGATTCTGAGATTGTTACCGTCAGTTTCAAGCAAAAATGGGTTAGCTTGATGTAGGGAATGAGGAGCCTTTTTTGGAAAGGCTAGTGGAGTGGGCTCTAGGCTAAGACTTTGCAAATGATTCCAAGAACCTGACGATAAGGAAAAATTTGCCTCTGCTCCTCTGCATTTCTTGTGTCCTCTCACACTACCGCCACAACAAGCGACTCTCTGTGACACCAGCGAGGTGGCCTACAACTCAATTCAATTCTGACACTAACCCGAGCCAGCGCAGGCCTCACAGGTTAAGGGCTCTCTCCCCACGAGACTGCCCCCCCCAACTTCTGATGTCAATTGCCAGTAGGTCCCAGGTTCCCCACAACTTCCGTCAAACGTGGCTACGAATTGGAGGCTCCCGTGACTCTCTCGCCTTGGATTTGGTTATTTGCTAGAACAGCTCATAGAACTCAGGGAAACACGTTTACCAGTTTATTAGGTAACAAAGGATATGTTAAAGGATGTGGATGGACAACCAGGTAAAGAGAGACATGGGGCAAGGTCTGAAGAATCCTGAGTACAGGAGCTTCTGTCCTCCGTGGAGCTGGGGGCGTCACCAGCCCCCCAGCACGCGGCTGTGTTCACCAACCAGGTTGCTCGTTGAGACTCGTAATTTTGGGATTTTTATGGAGCTTCATCATGTAGGCGCGATTGACCATTAACTCAATGTCCAGCCCCTCTCTCTCCTCCAGGGGATGGGGTAGGACTGGAAGTTTCAAGCTTCTGATCATAACTTGGTCTTTCTGATGACCAGACCCATCTAGGGTCCTATCACACCTTGCCCCATTAGAACAAAAGAGACTCGTGTCACCCAGGAAACTCCGAAGGTTTTAGGAGCTCCGTGGCAGGAACTGGGACCAAAAGCCAATATACATATTTCCTATTATGTTACAGTAACTGAACCAACCCACCGGGGGGACTCCTCCCTCCACGTGAGTTGTGAGGTCACCCACCCACGGCACCTTTCAGCATCCTGTTGCTTTGTCTCCGAGCCAGGAAGTCGTCACCACCCAACACATAACTGCCTTTTTATGTTCTATTTTGTTGTGTTTTGACTGTGCTATAACCTTCGCGTCACAAAGTACACAAACCTGAAGCCTGCAGTAGAGTTAACGCTGCTCTCTATGACACAAACACACTCGTGTAACTGCCATCATGGTGCAGAACACTTCAACACTCCAGAAAGTTCCCTCACGCTTCTTCTCAGTTAACGTTCCACCCCCGCAGTAGAGGCAACATGATAGTAGTAAAGGCAACTACTATTCTGACCGATATCACCATCAATTACTTTTGCTTATTCTAGAACTTTCTATTAGTATACAGTCTGTGCTCTTTTGTACCTGGTTCCTCGCACCCAGGATAATGCTTTTGAGATTCATCTACGTCATCATGTGCACCAGTAGCTTCTCCTGTTTATTGCTGAGTAGTATTCCATCACAACACGTCACAGATTGTATCCATGCACATGTGTGCGTGTGTGTGATATACAATATATGTATGAATGATATTCTCTCCTGATTGGTTAGGCATCTGATTAGCAGACGGTGGGTGCCAATCACAAATATTTTTAGACTCCCCCATACGTATATATTACATACTATATATATATATCACATATGTAATATACATGTATTATATATACATATGTCTATACATACATATACATAATATATATCACATATGTATATATACCCTATATCACATATAACATATATTTGTTTTCAATGGATTTATCTTTATGGCTACTTACATGAAGCAGTACTGATTTTCCATGTATAAATGTTCCTTTTGAAATAAATGTATTTAAGTTAAAAAGGGAGGTCATCTTGGGGCACCAGGGTGACTCAGTCGATTAAGCCTCTGACTCTTAATTTTGGCTCAGGTCATGATCTCACAGTTTGTGGGATTGAGACCCATGAGGGGCTCTGTGCTAACAGCTCGAAGCCTGCTTGGGATTCTCTCTCTCTCTCTCTCTCTCTCTCTCTCTCTGCCTCTCCCCCATTCATGTTCATTTACTATCTCTCAAAATAAATAAATAAGCTTTAAAAAATAAAGAGAGAGGGGCGCCTGGGTGGCTCAGTCGGTAAAGCACGTCTGACTTCGGCTCAGGTCATGATCTCGCAGTTTGTGGGTTCAAGCCCCGCGTCGGGCTCTGTGCCAACAGCTCAGAGCCTGGAACCTGCTTCAGATTCTGTGTCTCCCTCTCTCTCTGCCTCTCCCCCACTCACACTCTGTGTGTGTCTCTCTCCCTCAAAAATAAACATTAAAAATTTTTTTTAAATAAATAGAGTTGATCTCTTTAAAAAGTGAATAATAATAATACAGGTGGGATGAAAATGTGGCAAAAATTGAGAAGAGTTTATATAGGGTCATATTATTTATGATACACTCTGATATTTCTTTTTATTTTATTATTTTTTTTGTATGCTACTCACAGCCCACAAAAGTGATTTCATAACCCGTGAATAGGCTGAGACCTGAAGTTTGTGAAATATTGTTATGTAACCACTTGTGAACAAGGCCTTATCTCTTACTTTGTCATTATGACCCTTAAACTGGGGTAGTGACCCTTCCTGAGCCCCATGCCTCAGAGACCCCACTCTGGCCTGATCGGTTGAAACCCTACCAAGGGGCACAGAACCCCAGGGCCTTCAGGAAGCGCCCACCAGGGCCTGTGCCCCTTCTCGATCCTGCACTGGGGCCCTGGGTCCTGGAAGTCCCCATCCAAGCGGCTTGGAGCCCTCCTCTCCACGGCCCGCATGACCTTCTTGGTGGGCATACCCCTACACCAAGAGGTAGCCCAGAGGCAGTCATTTTTGGTGGGGGTGTGTGTACGGGGTTTAGATGTGCAGGCCGGGGTGTCCACGCTCGTGTGTGAGGCCCCTCCCACCAATGTAAGGATCTGGCGTGTGAAGAAAAGTAGGCCGCTGTGGGCCCAGGGCCTCCTTTGGTGCTTAACCTGTTACCAATACTACCTGCCAACATTAGGGGTGAGCTGGCATTGGCCACCAGGCTCTGCACGTGGACCGGGGCAGGGGTCTCAAAGTGCCGTGGCCAGAATCCCCCGCTGACGCTCTCACCGGCCAGAATCCCCCGTGGGCCACCCTCCTGTCCCCCCTGCCTCACGCCAGCCCACCTGCGTTCGCCGTATTCTCTGCCCTGGCTTTGGAGCCTGCGACACCCTCACTTTACTCCTCAGGGGACCTCGTCCCTAGTCCCGGCCGCTTTCTTCCACTCCCCGGTCATGAATAATCAGAGACCGTGGGCAGGGACCACAGTGCTTTACTTTTCGTCTGAACAGCGTGGGACACCGGAGCACGGGGTTGGGGGCAGTGCCCAGGGGGCCGAGCAGCCCTCAGGATGGGCAGGGGACTTGGAGCATCAGCCCGGCTCTGTCTCCATCTGGGTCTTCCCTCTCGGGCTGGGCTCTACCAATTATTCTGTAGACTCATCGAGGGGAGGGAGGTGGCTGGGCACGGTGAGCCGGTGGGGACTCAGTCTCGGGGTGCCCCTCCATTCGGTTGCCGGCCCCTCCTTCCGATGGTCTCACCTGTTGTAGTTCCGGCACAATTGGGGTAACCGTCTACACTTGCCACCTGTGGGTGAAGGAAAGGGTTCGGTCATGAGTTGGAACAAAGTTGATGATTGCATGTGCTCCGGGTGCTGGAGGACAAGGCCCGTCAACCCTGCCCCTGGAGAAGCTCCAAGGCAGCCCTGAGCCAGTGATGAGGAGCACAGGGGAGAGGAACCAGCACAAGGGCTCCCCGGGGGAGCAGCCTCCCCCACACAGAGGGCCCCTTTGAGAACCCATCCTAGTTTGTGTGTTACGCATTCATTCAGCAAGTATTTGTTGTGTACCTACTATGTGCCAGGCTCCTTGGGAACACCCCAAGGAACAGGAATGAATAAAATCCCTGCCCTGGTAGAGCTGATTTAACAGCAGGGGAGACCGACTGAGAAAAATGACTAAGTCAAGTATGTGGACAGTGAGGTCAGATGGTGATGCGTGCTCAGTAGAAAACTAAAGCCGGGAAGGAGGCAGGGAGGCCGGCGGCTGAGGGCATCTTCATGGTGATGACTAGAGGGGCTTCACTGAGGAGGGGACATTTGAGCAAAGACCTGAAGGAGGTGAGGGGGAAGCCAGGAAGGGTGTTCCAGGCAGAGGGCATGGCCAGTGCAAAGGCCCTGAGGTAGGAGGAGACAGGTGGGTTTAAGGGACAATGGCAGGGGGTGGGTCAGGAGGCAGGACCAAAGTGAATGGGGAGGGATTTCAGAAGACAGTCTCCTGGCTGTCGCCCTTGCCACCTCCTTCTCTCTGCCCCCCCCCCCCCCC